AATGGGAATCTGAGTTGGGGGGAAGGATTGGAATGTGGATGGAGAAAAGCCCCACTTTGTGGCTAAATATGCATATAAAATACATGAAACTTGTATACTTAAATTAAAAAATTAAAAACAACCACAAAATGAAGGAATAAAAATCAGTGGATTCTATTCAATAGTTACAATTTACTGTGACAGAGTTGACATTGATAATTACACTCAAAAGCAGGATATTTTAGGAAGTCATCTTTTACAAATGAAATATCATTTAATAAGTTGTTTGATTTATCCTTATATTTATTTCTGAGAATTAAAAAGCAAAACTGAATATAATCTCATATCAATTAATTTACATTTATAAATATATTCATAGAATTATATATAAATTAAATTTATGTTGATTAATTTGAAATCCATTGCAACATTTTAAGTTATGATTATTTGGTAATACAGAAAAGAAATTATCATCAAGTCTAAATATTCAATAAATATGTTAGAATAAAATAATAAAAATTGATCAGGAGATGGATATAAAAGCAATTAAGTAAAACAAGCATGCTATTCCATTTTCTTTATTTTTCACCAAAAAATTGCCATTTATTTTATGTTCTTAATATATATTCTTAATTTTAATATTCTTTTATTATCTCAGTTCCACTGTGATGCAGACTGTGAATTTATTAGTAGTCATCTACACATCCAGCAAATAGGGAGGGGACAAGGAGAGTGATGTGACAAAAAACTAGCTGGGGTTGGAGATATGGCACAGTAGGTTGAGGATCCACCTGCAGCACAGGCATCCCACATGGGGGCCTCTTATGATTCAGCTTTCTGCTGGTGACCTGGGAAAGCACTGGAAGATGGCTCAAGTGCTTGGGCCTCTGCACCCATAAGGGAGATGCAGAAGAAACTCCTAGCTCCTGGTTCAGATCAGCCTGGCTCCAACAATTACAGCCATTTGGAGAGTGAACCAGAGGGTGGAAGTTGTTTCTCTCTGCCTGTAACTCTGCCTCTCAGATGAATAAATAAATCTTTAAAAAAAGAAAGGAAACAAGCTGTCTTCCTGAATAATATGTGAATTTCTGTGTCATAGGCTTTGCAAGTTGAATTGAAGAGAGAATACTTCAAGGTTATCCAGATAAGATTAATTTTAGAAGAAAGAGAATATTTTCTCTGAAATATCCTCAAGTGTGGTAATAGATTATTAAGGAATAATACAGAAAAGTAAGCTATTCAAAATTATGCATAAATATTTATTAAATATATATATTCATGATCAAAAAGATAATACATATATAGAGTGATACTTTTACCCTATGAATATATCTTCCTGTAAATTCTGTAAATTTTATTTTTAAAATTTAACATATACTTTGCTCAGAAGCACATAAGGAAATATATTTCCATCATGTATAAAAAGGTTTTTAATAATTCATTGGCAAATTTTTCATAGAAGGTGAAGCTATGAAGAATTAAAATGGAAGCATCTACACTACTCTCTCGTAGAATCTTCAGTTAGATATTTAGCAGGAATTTGAAGAAAGAAAAGAGAAAGCAATGAAAGAACAAAAGACATTTTGCTTTTGTCATTTGTGGTATAATTATTGAGTTGAATTTAAAATATTAAGAAGTTGCCACAAGGGAAAAGTATAGTTTAGAGTCATTTAGCTTTACCAAAATATAAACATCTAAAATTATGTTGTTGAGACTCAGGCAGAGAAATAAAATGGACAAAATACATCTTTATGAGAATGGAATATTAATCTATATGAGGTGATTATATTTTGAGGGTAGTTCTTTTTTTTTTTGGCTTTACATTTACACACCATCTGTTCTATCAAAGCAGATATCATTTACTTGCCTTGAGTCACCACATACTAGGGCAATGGTAATTTCATTCCGTTAACCAAAATAAATGATTTTTGCACTGAGCATAAAAGAAATACCATTTTTAACTATTTTGCAATTAAGGTTTATTTCAACCTTAGTTTGATAAAGCAGTTTTGACCTTTCTTTATAAAACATAAATGTTAAAACTACTTTGAACATCATGTAAAAGTTTTCTGATATCTGATTGAGGCTATGTGTTATGTAATTAAACTGAAGTGTCACTATCATTTAAATTATATTCACTCTTCACACATGGTGAACTTTAGCATTCATGATCCTGCAACAACCTCTTAAAGTATTTTTGTACTAGAATCAATTTAACTAAATAATATTGTCAGTCTTTTATAATGTTAATTTACTTGATACATTAAATTTATTAATAAGCATTTATATGCCACTGAGCAAAAATGCTCCAAGAAGAAATTTTATTTTGTGCCGTTTTTGATTTCTAATATTGAGTATCCCCACTCATATAACATTAAATCTTTAAAATGTAATTAATGGAGCAACTTAATCCCTACCCATTTCCCTTTGTTCTCAGAAATTATATGTTGCTCTAATTCTGATCCAGCTCCTTGCTAATGAGCCTGAGAAAGCATCAGAAGATGACCCAACAATGTGGGAGAACCAGATGGAGTTCCAGGCTTCTGATTTCAGCTTCATCAGGCCCTGGCCATTGCAGTCATTTGGGAAGTGAGACAGAGAACGGAAGACCTCCCTCTCATTCTTTCTATACCATTCTCTCTATAACTGTGTCTTTCAAATAAACTAAATCTTGCAAGAGGTGCCAACATTGTGATAAGGGAGTAAAGTCAACTGTAATGGCTTTAAAGGTAATGCATCTAACATTGAATGATGGTTTGAATCCCTTATCTCTCTGCTTCAATCCAACTTCTTGCTAATGATCATGAAAAAGTGAAAGAAGGTGATCCAAATACTTGGATCCTTGCTGCCAATATGGAAGATCAGAAGGAGTTCCTGGTTCCTGGCTTCAGTATGCCCAAACCCAGGCTTTTATAGTCATATCGGGAGTGAACCAGCAAATGGAAACTCGCTCTCTCTCTCTCGCTCTCTCACTCTTATTCTAGCTCTCAAATATATGAATAAGCAAATCTTTATCAAAAATATATTTTCTTAAAAATAAAAGAAATTAAAGAAAGAATCCATACTTGTTTTCCCAAGAAGTTTCTCAAGCCCATTGTGTCTATTTTAACCTTGAATTGGCTCCCCTACTTTCTGTTATTTTATATACTACTTTAACAATATCAATTTATTAACCATATTCAATTGACAATTTCTTTTCAAATAATAATTAACATGCATATACAGACATGAGAAGGTAGGAGTAAATATGTTCAGTTTGATTATTGTTTTAGCTATATATACATATACATATATATTTAAAATAATACATGATTTATGTACTGTGAAATTACAATAAATACTTACTTACGGAAAGAAAAGATAAATGATCGGCCTCAATCTTTTCTCTCTCATTAGGACTATTTACCCTAGAGAAAGACTCACTGTGAAATCTCTGAAAAGCTCTCAGAGAATTACACAGGTTGGCATCACAGTGTATGTGTCATTCAACACTGAGATAAAGATGTCCAAAGTATTAAAGCATACATACACATGTATATTACAATTTCAGTAATTCTTCTACTTTAGCTGTAGATTAATTTCATGATGTGCATCGTAATTGATATTACCAGATATGGGAGTAAATTTCCTGAACCATATTTAGAAATTATCTATCTCAGAATGTGGGTATATACCGAAAAGGAATTTTTGTCACAGCAAAGCTTCATTTAGAATTTTCCATCACGGACAGTATTAAAAGGGGATTTTACCAGTGGACAGAACTTCAGGCAGTGTCATTGGTTATCTACATTGTCAAAGAGAGGTGTGCCCAAGGTCATGGGATCCATAAACATGGGCAGTTGAATTTGGTTTTACTGGCTCTTTTCTTAATTGGAAGTGGCAAGAGTGTAAAATCAAAGAAGAATTTGCAGAAGTGTTTGAACGGGTGAATCATAGTAAATTCAAAGTATGATAATATGTGTATTCAATGTTAATGCATGCTAGAGGCATCATCTACAGTGGAGGTAACAAGCAAAGTGAAAAGGATGATTAAATCAATAGGTATAAGCCAATCTTTAAATCTAGTAAGCATAGTATTTATTCAGTTGGCTTGTTAATTGATTAGCTATGGCTATAGTTTATCAAGTTTTTCATTTGACCAATAGCAAGGTGTCTGTAACAAATAACAAACTTGGTAACAAATTCTTTCTCTCCCATCAATCAAGAGTATATGTATATTTCTTATACATATATATAATATATTTCTGTAGCGATTATGAAACATTTTGGCAAATTTGACATCAACAAATGTAATGCAATCATTGCCCTCAACATTTGTTGCACATCAGATGTCTTGCTGTCTCACTGTTATTGCAACTTTAGAATCAGCTTGGTGGAGAATGACAGGCCATCTGGAGGATAAACACAGTGACCCAGCCAAAAGCCTGCTGCATGCCAGATATATAAGGCCATCCTAGGTGATCCAGATGTCCTCTGATCCAACATCTGAACATAGATAGGAAAGAGATTCCAGAAGAAATCAGACTTTTGAGACCCACAAAAAGCGTGATCAATGATGAACTGTTAGTCTTTCAACTAGTTAGGTTTTAGAGACATTTCCAATCAGATGCAAATAATAGATACAGAAATTAATTTCAACAAGTGGAATGCTAGCAAAAAAGAATTTTTAAAAATAACTGACTTTGGGAAAAGTTATTGGCATACAAAATTAGGGAAAGTGGAAGTATTTCTTCTATACAAGCTTAGAAAAATGATCACCAGTAATATGATTATAAACAACTGATAAAATTGCATTCTTCCTAAAGATGTAAGGAAGAAAATATCTCCATTTAACTTTGGGCCTTAGCAGAAAGCTTTCCAGGGGTAAGTGTACTTTTTTGCATTCCATAATTTTCCTAAACTATTTACTTTAAAGAGGTATGGTTTGGATGCATGACTCAAGGAATCATTGATTCTATTACAGACCATATTGCTAATAACGTGGCAGCTAAAAAATAATTGTATTAATATTGAAAACATAGCTGAGAATCCAACTGAGGAATAACAACTCTGAAAAAAATAGAGCATGTTTTTCAAAATATGATAGAGTAAATAAATATCTATGGTCATTATGCTAGGTAGGTAGAAAACCTGGATTGGGTAGTGAAAATATATAAGACGGATTTGCCCCACTATCACTAAGTTTGGCATTCGCAGAAATTCTTACTGTTGCAAATTTTAACTTTTGGTTCTTCATGCCAGTAACCAGAAGCAGAAAAAGAGGCTGTCACACTGATATGAGTAATGCACCACAGTCAATATGATAGCAGACAAGAGTGGGGAAGTATATGCTTGACACTCATAGTATTTATTGTGGCTTCTACTCCCAAGTTTTACTGTAAATGTACAGATTTTTTCACCAGTGTCAAGTGTCTAACAGTATATGGTAATCACATACCTGTGGATATGAAAACATATATGACAGCACCAGACACTCTATCTAGAGCATCAGAAGTGCTAGCCAAGAAGAAATGATATATTTAAAATATATAGCAAATAATAAAAAGGTGGTACATGTCAGTCATTGTCTCAGGGACAACTATTATAACAAATATCAGACTTCATCCAAGTAATCCTCCTTTTTGTCCTTTTTACAAAAAGTGCGACCAGTCAGATCACAGGTGAGCTGTGACGAGAAAGCGGGAAGCTATTGTTAGAAAAAGTAGACCTGACGAAAACAAGGGTTGGACTCTCATGGGAGTGTTTTGTATCTCCCTAGCTCACCTTTCTTAGGCAGGTGCATCCCTTATTCGGTTGCCATAAAATTTAGGTGTTGCTGTCTCAAACAAACCATTTTCTTTGTGACTTACATATTACAAAAATAGAAATCATCTCACCTGTAAAATTAAACCTTTACTTCAACAGAAGGATCTAGGGATTGAAATGGAAAATTTACATTTTTCTAAAAAGGTAGGTACCCTTTTCCCCATGTGGAACCAACTCTGCCATGAAATTTATGCTCCATACCTGCCAGGAAAATAAAGCAAAACTCATCAACAGCTGAGACCACTTGTTTTCCCCTCATGCTTATTTTCCCCTGATGCCCCCCATTGTAGAATGATAGAAAGTAAATATTTTAAGTTTGATGATTATATTACGCCTATTCTAACTACTCTACTGTGTCATAGTAGCATAGAAATCATCATAGACATATAAAAAATGTATGTTGCTGTGCTACAATAACATTTTATTTTAGCTCTTTGTTGGAGGCTACTGATATTTTCATGAGTATTGCATTGAATCTGTACATCACTTTGAGTTGTATGGACGTAACAATGTCAGCTGTTCCAATTCACCAACATTGGGCAGCTTCCGTTTTTGTGTGTCTTCTGTGGTTTTCTTGTAGGAGACTCTTCCAAATGTTCATGGAAAGTGAACATTATGAAAAAATAATGATGCATGGATTTCAAAACTTCAAACGAAGTTATTTTTAATTCCATTTTCCGTAAACTTTTGGAATTATTCTCAGATACATGCAGAAGAATGAAACTACATTTTTATCTTTCCCCATTAATTAAAAATCAACTCAAAATGGATAAAGAGGCTAAAAGTTAGGCACAAAATATGAAACCACTAGAAAAAAATATGAGAAAGTTTTTGAAAGCTTAAGAAGAGGCAAAGTTTGCTTCTTTTGGGGGGGGGGGATTATGATGCCAAAAACACAAATAATAAAACAGTACTAGACTGACTGAATTACAGCAACCTAGGACTCTACACAGCAAACAGCAAAGTGAAAAGACGTCCTACAGAATGAGAAAATAGTTTTGCAAAATTTTCATCTGATAAAGAAGTTAGTATTCAGAATATAGAAGAAATTCAAACAACTCACCAAAATAAATAAATATTTTAAAAAATGGACAAATGATATTCTATGAATTTTTCAAAAGAAAATGTACAAATGCTCAAATGTGTGAAAAATTCTCAACATAGTGAATTGCGGGGCATGAGGATGGCAAAGACGGCAGCTCTGCTCCACTGAGGGTGCGGCGGAGGCCTGTGGAGTTCGGGTGTGTAGACAGTGGGTTTGGGCATGGGTGGTGGCGGCTCCACAGAGCACCTGGATGTGCTGGTGAAGAAAGACAAGGTGGTGGTCTTCCTCAAGGGGACACCAGAGCAGCCCCAATGTGGCTTCAGTACCGCCATGGTGCAGATCCTGTGGCTGCATGGCGTCCGCAACTACACGGCCTACAAAGTGCTGGACGACCCCGCAGACGATCACCATGCACCCCACGCCGGGGGGGGGGGGGGGGGGGGGGGGGACGATTGGGGAGAAGGATGGGGAGGAACCGGTACCAACGATGACGGTGAGGGCCTGGGCGACACCAACTACAGCGGGTTTGACGGCTATGCAGGCAGCCTCTTCTCCAGCGGGCCCTGCGGGAGGGACGATGAGGAGGCGGAAGCCATCTAGGCAACACTAGACAAGAAGATGATGCGGAGAGGAAGGTAGACGGGCAGAGTCTAAGTTGTCTACAAGGAAACTTGATTAGGCACAGGCATCAGAAGAGATGACGTCAGCATATGGACGCTATGGAAACTTTATGGAAAACATAATAGGGTAACCTTTAAAACGATTGGCTGGCTTCTCTTCTGCTCTCCTATAGCTTTGTGGCTTTTTGCTTTAAAAAAGGCTTACTGCACAATAATAAATGAGTTCCTGCTTGACTCGACTCTGTGGCATCTGATTGTCTCCGGGATCAAGGGAGGGTGGGGAACAGGCGAGCAACACACTTAACTTTCCTTGGACCCAGTCCATCCTTGTTTGGTGGATGAAAATCCTGCAGTGAATGATTAGGGATATGTAAATCAAAACTACACGAAATGTAATTTCATGCCGGTTAGAATTGACTACATTTCATAAAAACTAGAAATGAAGACACTGAAGTTTCCCATTGCATAGATAAAATAATACTTGAGGAATTAAGAATGTTATTTTGATTAGACCATTACACCTTGTATACATGCAAAGAATTAAACCATTACACTCCATAGATAAGTTAAATGACTATACAAATTCTATTTAAAAATATATATTTATATATTTTATAATAATGTAATATAATAATATATATTATAATATAATAATTATATAATTATAATATATTATATATTAAAATATTATAAACTATAAAATACTATATACAAATACTATTTCAAAATAGTCACATAATCAGGTTGTAATACATTTTTTAAGGTTTATTTATTTATTTGAACATCAGTGTTACATAGAGAGAGGGAAATCTTCCATACTCTTTTTCATTCCCAAAGTGGACACAATGGCCATTGCTGAGCCAGGCTGAAGCCAGGAGCAGCATGCATTTTTCCCACATAGGTGGCCGGAACCTAAGTACTTAGACCATCCTCTACTGCCTTCCCCAGGCAGTAATCCAGAAGCTGGATCAGAAGTGAAACAACTGGGACATAAACCAACACCCATATATGATGCCAGCACCACAGGTGGAGGCTCTACCTGCTATGCCACAATGTCCAACTCTATCATTTAATTTTGAAAACTCCGTTTGCCAATTCTTTATATAGTCTGTAAAAATTATGAGAACATTGACTTAGATGTAAGTCAGTGAGCAAACACATCCTCCGAATTAGATTCTTGGTCTTACAAAAATATATGTTATCTAACCAGTATAAGTTAGAGCAAAAATAAGTGAAAATTCCAGTTAAAGTCAAATATAACACATAAGTTAGGAAAAGGAAGAAATATTACAGAAATAAGATCAGTTATAAATGAGTTATAATAGCCTAAACAGCTAAATCAATTTGGAAGTGCTTTAAAAATCTAAACATAATAAATCATAAGGGAGCCTAATTAATAAAATACAGACAGGGCAGGATTTTCAGACTAGTGATTAAGATATCCACATCCCACTTTAGAATACCTGGATTCAATTTTCAGCTTCAGCTATTGACACTAGCTTCCTACTAATACAGACCCTAGGAGGCTCAGTGCTGGGCCAGACAGAACCCAGGAGCCCAAAGCTACTTCCTGGTGTCCCATGCAGGCACTTGGGTCATCTCCTGCTTCATTTCTGAGGCCATTAGAGTGGAGCTGGATCAAAAGTAGAGCAGCCAGGACTCAACCAGCGTCTATGTGGAATGCTGGTGACATAGATGGCAACTTAAAGCACTACAGCAAAATGCTGGCCCTCATTTGGTCTTAATTGCCTAGCCACTCACCATGACACATATGTTTTAAAATGTTTTAGAAATATTATTCGTCTGGGGTCTGGTGTCATGGCTCACTTGGTTAATCCTCCCCCTGCGCCGTCGACATCCCATATGGCACTGGGTCCTAGTCCAGGTTGCTCCTCTTCCAGTACAGCTCTCTGCTGTGGCCGGGGAAGGCAGTGGAGGATGGCCCAAGTGCTTGGGCCCTGCACCCGCGTAGGAGACCAGAAAGAAGTACCTGGCTCCTGGCTTCGGATTGTGCAGCGGCAATTTGGGGAGTGAACCCATGGAAGGAAGACCTTTCTGTCTCTCTCTCTCACTGTCTATAACTCCATCTGTCAACAAATGAGTTCAAAAAAGACAATTTTAAGAAACGTAGCTTAAAAAATAATGTATACAAGATAACTAAACTGTAGGTTCAATTGTAATTAATAGTAGAATATGGCAGCTTTTCCAGAGGAAGGGAACAAGAATAGTATTAACAATATTTCAGAAAAAACAGCAGTAAAAATAAAAACATTCTATAACTTATACAAAATTAAAATGAATTTTGGTGTGTACTCTTAGTCTGTGAATTCTGTATTAGTTTAAAATAGAAATAGAAAAGTCTAAAAATAAGTGAAAATATACAAAATATTTTTTAAAAAATTAAATGCATGGCCAGCACCATGGCTCCATAGGCTAATCCTCTGCCTGCGGCTCCAGGACCCTGGGTTCTAGTCCTGGTCAGGGTGCTGGATTCTGTCCCCGTTGCTCTTCTTCCAGTCCAGCTCACTGCGGTTACCCAGAAGTGCAGTGGAGGATGGCCCAAGTCCTTGGGCCCTGCACCCGCATGGGAGACCAGGAGAAGCACCTGGCTCCTGGCTTCGGATCAGCGTGGAGCACCTGCCGCAGCGGCCATTGAGGGGTGAACCGACGGAAAAAAGAAAGACCTTTCTCTCTGTCTCTCTCTCTCACTGTCCACTCTGCTTGTTAAAAAAAAAAAATGAAATGTAAACTTGTGTAACTGAGGATTATTTCTTCACAGATATTTAACAAACTGTTATTTAAGAAGAAAATTATATATCTCAATAAAATATTAATGATGTATAAGCATAAATTTATGGTATATCTCTCTTAAAACTAATGAATTATCCAATATTTAAACTTTACATATAATTGCCATTTTAAATTCTCCTCATGTTTAAAAGAGATACACAGCATTGCCAATACAAAAATGTTACAAAAACTTGCAAATATTCTGAAGGGTTATAAATGAACCATAAAGATAAATGCTAAACTTTTTCGTCATATAGAGCTTTCTAATGAGATACCCTGGGAATAAACTATAGGTTGAGCTTTGTAATTCTTCATTAATAAAATAAGATAAAAATAAATAGGACATCATTTTACATCTTAAATTTTGCTAAAGTAGCATTTAAGACCCAAAAAATTGCAATAATATCTAACCCAGATAATGATGAATTTAGGTCCAAGATGGCAAATGTCAGCAAACATAGTTTTATATGCACTGTATTCAAAATCGTCGGTAAAATCCAAACTCATATTTCCTATCTAATTTTTATGAATAAATGTGGAATTAGTAACTAGCTCAAAAGAGGCCATGGATCCATATGAATCATTTTGATTCTGGCTTATGGTAATACATTTTGTTTATTTGTATATAGTATCTTTAAAAAATGTTTGGCCAGAGACATTGAATAGTATTTCTAAATATAAAGTATTATGTTTTATTTTGTATTCACTATTGCCAATTATGAGAATATATCTCAAGTTGCAATTCATTTTATCTATCATTTCTTCCTTGTTTCCTAGCAACTCTGATGATATGCTTGATTTTGGTTTGTGGTGGAATGGTATTAGTAATCTATCTATGAAGATGGACTATCAGCAGCGTCAACCAAAGTCTTACTTAGCACCCTTACAGAAGATTGCTGAAACAAGAGAAGCCCAGTAAGTAATATTAATACTTCTTTAAAAGTTCCAGAGTTCATCTTGTTGCCAACCTGGATTTTTGAAGGAGAGTTGTGGAAAAAAAGGTTGTAATTAAAAAAAAATCAAAGTATTCCATATAAGACATTAATACAATTTTGAAAAAGTTCAGTAAAAACATTAAAATATTTGATAGAATATATAATTAAAAGAGGTAAACTATAAACAGTACTAATTATGCTATATGAAAGATGTATCTTGTATACAAGAAGTATAGGCAGTCCCTGACTTATAATGCTTTTTACTTATTGTTTTTACTATACAATAATGTGAAAGCAATAAACATTTAGTAGATTTTATTTTCAATATTGAATTCGGATTTTTTCTATTATTCTGTTTTTATTTTTTGTATAGTACTCTATTAATTCTGTATCATGCTCTCTCAATATACCAAGCATGGATAGTGAGATGCATCTCTCTCATCCTTGTCATCGTAATGGTTTACAATCAATACATCACACTGTGTTGCTAAACTATGGTGTTTGGCCCATTAAATTTTCAATATAAGATTTTTTCAATTTATGATAGGTTTATTCGGTTGTAACCCATATGTTTGTTGAGAAACTTTTTATTCCTCACAAGCACATAAAAATAGGTAATATTTTAAATATTTTTATTTTACAAATGACAAAATTTTGATATGGAAATGCTAAATGGTTTAAGGCCAACCAGTCTCCTATTCAAAGAATTAATCTTCAAAGACATAAACTGCAGAGTCTTGCTCATAGTCTCCTTGTAAATATTCATTATTACTCCTTCAAATTGAGAAAGCACAAATAAGCAATTGACGAAATGCAAATAAAATTCCATGATTTAGAGCCATCCTGTCTTATGGAGACCGAAACTCTCTGAATTTACTTAAGCTTTATAAAGGTCATTTATGTATACAAGACAACTTCTGTTGAGGGAGTGGTGTAGTGTTAGGTGATTGGAAGTTGTGTTAGTTCACTTTCTGCCACTTTAATGGACACACTTGAGAGGAGTTTCTTTAAGAAAAAAAAAAGGTTCACTTCATCTTACAGTGTGAGTTTGCCAGATCAGGTGACCCCACAGCCTAGAGAAGGCTGTTATTTATGGCAGTGCAGCAGTGGCCACATCTTCAGCCAGGAAGGAAAGAGAGAACCTAAACCCAACTTGAACTCAAAGGTTGAAAGTCTCTATAAATATAATTGAAAATGAATTGTGATGAAGAATGGGATGGGAGAGGGAGTGGGAGATGGGATGGTTGTGGGTGGGAGGGAGGTTATGGGGGGGAAAGCCTCTGTAATCCTTAAGTTGTACTTTGGAAATTTGTATTTATT